AAAAAAAAAAAAAGACTAAAAGGTGATATTCAAAATTTAAAAACAAATTCTTGAGTTAAGAGTCATGGAATTAATGGAGCTTTCCTTTTGCCTAAAATTAGTTTTAGTATTTATATTATAGTTTCTCATTTTTAATAATTATAAAGAAGCAAAAAGTTATTTAAGTCCCTATTAACAGCCAACTGTTTTAAATCTTAAATTCATTACAATCTCCATCCATTACTTACTAGTTGTGTGACCTTCAGTTAACTTTTTAGTACCTCAGTTTTCTCATCTATCAAAGGAGAATGATTAATAACAGCAACCAACTCACAGGCATGTTATAAGGATTATGTGAGTTAATACCGTAAAGCACATAAACAGTCTCAAACAGGCCCTGGAACACACTTCCTGGAACTTTGTTAAAACTCAGTTAAGTATTAATTATAAAAATATGTATAATATTATAATAATGTACTATATTTTTACAAAATAATAATATACTGTATTTTGGGGGTCACAAAGGGAGTGGCTTCACGTCACCTCATTTCCAATGAACTAAAAACAGTTTACAACTCATGCCCCACAGTAGGCCACTGCAATTACCAGAAATATAACTTCCTACTTTCATTTCAACTTTGATTGAGTCCTTACAACTGTGATGCTCACAACACAGAACTTACTGTGTGAAAGATTAACAAAGCCATAGGATAAACATGGTCCATCTTTCTGGGGTATCAACTCAAGAGGTAAACATTATTCCCAATCTATAGATGAGACAACTGAGGCTCACAAAGGAATTTCTTCAACCATTAAATTAGAAACTTAAACCCAATCTAACAAAAATTCCAATAAAATCATTTATCTGCCATGTTCTAAGCTTCCAAGTTCTTATCTTCATATTCTAAGCTTATGAATCACTGTCCAGTACTCAGCCCAACACAGGCTATACTGAACCCACTAGACGGTACACTTCAGAAGCTTTAGTCAACATTCATTCAATAAGAGTTTACTTCTAGAGTGCCAAAAATGTGCCAGGCACTGTTCTATACCCTAGGAATAAAGTACTAAATGAAACTACCAAAATCTTTGCCCTTAAAAGCCTATAGTGTATTCTCACCACCTAGCCCAATGCTTGGCATATAACAATCATTTAATAAACAGTTGTTGAATGAATCTTCCTCATGGTCATGCCACTTAGCACTAAGAACACTGATCTTAGTGTTTTTTGAGTTACAGACCCCTTTGATAATCTGATGAAAACCCTCTCTCCAGAAAAAAAAATGGACATATGCACATAAAATATTGTATATACACACAAGGACCCCCTGAAGCCTCCAATTAAGAACTCCTAATCTAGTGAGAAAATATTACACTAAGGATCTCCTCAGAATTTAGCTATAGACTAAGCATCCTTGCGTCAATTTTTCTATCTCTTCCTTTCAAGAGGAAGAATTTTGTCAAACAATCTACCTTAGAATTAGATCAAATTATATAAATGGACAAGATTGTCACTATAAACATCAATTTGTTTAAACCAGGACAATGGATAAAAACACATGGCATAAATATTTGATGAAAGAATGAAGAAAAAAAGAAAGGGAAGGAGGGAACAAAGGACAGAGAGAAGGAAGAGGGAAGGGGGATAGGAGATGGAGAGGAGAAAAGAAGAAGACTCTTACCTAAGGGCAATTATAGTTCCCTCAGGTGTCAACATATGTTTTACAATTCCTTTCTCCTGACAAAGGTTCTCCCAGTCTCCCAGCCTCGTACCTGCAATGCATTGACAACTCGAATTGGATGCTCCTCTCCCAGAGCCTGGATGCAGTGTTGAAATAAACAATTAATATTGTCCTTGATCTTCATTAATTCCTCTCCATCAAGAGATTCCAACTTGCCTTCTAAGTACTCTAAATTCACCTGCCAAAGAAACAATAAGGGTCTTAGCACATTTTTAGTGTAGCACCTAGAACACATGAGAAGTTAAAGGAGAAGAAAATCCACAGATGCCACCAAGTCTTACCTTCATGAGGAAGAGTTCCTCCCAAAACCGAGGACTGCATTTACTGGGGTCTTCTGTCTGAAATCAGAAGAAAAGCAGATTCAACATCCCTAGCTGTCACCAAAAGCATTAAGAATACATTTGGGGGGTCACTACACAAAGCCAACCTTAACTTTCAAAATGAATTTTGAAAATGCCTAGTTATTCTAAACTGCTCTAGAGGGAAAGAAAAAACACCTTTTTTTCATGTGGAAAACACTACGCATGAACATATATTCTCTGTACCAAAAGTTAAATAATGGCTCAGAACTGCCCTCAAACTTTCCTAGCAAGAAGTGAACCAAGACAATAAGTTAGTTAACTTATGACATGTCCCCCTTACACTTCTATGGTGTTCAGTTTTCAAATCTCTCTCATATACGTTAAATACAATGGTGAGCCAGGTAGGATAGATACTATTATCACCCTCCTTTTAGGAAAGAGGGTCTATAAAGTTAACTGATCTGCCCAAGTGCAGGAGCCAGAACCCAGATCACATGAATACTACTGCAATGGTTTTGATAACACCCTGTGTTAACTGTTCTATTTGTCCTCCTATATGTAATTAGTCCTCTATACAGAACTTTTATATGCTCTTTTAATATACTCTTTTCATAATTCAAATTGGTCCAAAAGGCAAGTAAAAATTATGGTATTGGAATCTAAAATTTCTTAGCAGTAATTTCAAACTGAAATTTTAGGAATTTTAGGAAGTCAGAAAATTTTAGGAAGTCAGAAGTTTCACTATTTAACTAGTGAAATAAGAAAAGAGAACCCACATTTTACAGGAAGGCTAATAACATAAAATCAGTAGATCAATGGCCTACCATCACCTTACCTTGAGTTGACCTTTTTAAATTACCACCAAGAACTAATGTCTTCATCAGTTAAGAACTCCTTACCTAATAAGAAAATAATGTACTAAGAATCTTTGGGAGCTCTGATGGCATAGTGCCTAAGGTATTTGACTGCTAACCAGAAGGCTAGTGGTTCAAACCCACCAGCCTTAATTGAGGATGGCATAGAAAAGCATCACTTCTGGCCTTCTCATAAGGTCTTCAATTTTTTTCTTTCTCTCAAGTTCTGCTCCCCAGAAGGGCCATACTTTGGCCTCACACTTGTTATATCATTTTGTTCTCTACATATGAGAGTCAGGGAATTCACAGAGCTGGCACTTTCTATGCCCAAAGCTCATTCAAACAGGAGTTATACGTATACCAAGCTTGAGTGACATAGAAAAAGCCCTAAAATGATCTTAGTACCTACTCGATTTCTCTATATAATTACTGGTACCGAGCTGGGAAATTCTGTATAATTTTCTGTCAAAATCTGTTAACTCACCTAGAGAGTTCTAAGGCTTACCAATAATCAAATGTTTTATTTGATAACATTATTTATCCTAGACCATGTGACAAAGTCAAAAGAGTAAGAACTTTGGAGTCAGACAACTTGGTTCAAATCAAAGCTCCATCACCTTCTAACTATGATCCTGGTTCCTCATCTGTAAAATGATGACATTACTCGTACCTTTCCAGAGTTCTTGTAAGAATTATAGCTAATGTATTTAACAGTGCATTTAGAACAATGCCAGGAACATAGTAGGAACGTAATACATGATAACTCTTTTTGTAAGTATTATTCTGTTTTACATGTCCTACTAATGACCAGAATTTCAAAAGGCAAGTATCCTTGCAGGATACCTAACTACTCTAAAAAATACAAAAAACTAACTCACTGCTGTTGAGTCAATTCAACTCACAGTGACCCCTTCCCAAATAAGTCTCTAATCAAACTGCTAATAATTCCTCAGTCATCCCACATAGCTGGAGAATGAGACACTCTAAGCCATTGCTTTGTCTACCAATAAATTCAGATGGAATATACTAACATATCTTTTTAAATGATCTGAATCAGAGAATTCTGGGACCAAAAGGAATTTCATGAGATATCTAAAACAGAAGATTCTTAAGCTAGATAGATCATAAGGAATATGAGTCTTCCTCAAAAGATAATTAGAAAATAATTTTCCCGTTATCTTCTCTCCTTTCAATTGTTTTACACAGTTCATGGCAACAAACTATAAGAACAACATGATAACAATCTATATTAATTAATACATTATCATAATCCCTAACACAAGAGTAGGGATCACTTTCTCTCCTTCTCTGAAGAACAAAGAAGTGGCAGGCAGGAGTGAAGTTACTTCACATTTGGGGACAAAATAATGAGTCAAGAAACAGCTGTGCATGTGAGTGGCACTCTAAAGTGCAGCTATTGGTCTCTCCTCGTCCCTCTCCTCGTCCCTCTCTCCGTCTCGAGCAAAGAAGAATGAAGACAATCAATGACGCATGGAAACAATCAGTCCAAAGGACTAATGAGCCACACGAATCCCAGCCTCCAAAACCCTGAGACCTGGATAACTAGAAGGTGACCACTGACTACTCTCAAAGGGATCACAATAGGAGATCCTGGATAGAGTGGGAGAAAAATGTGGAACAAACTCAAAATCATAACAAAACAAAAAAAAGATAGGCTTACTAATCTGATAAAGACCGGTGGAACCCCTGAGACTATGGCCCTTAGGCACCTTCAAACCTGGAATGGAACTGACCTTCCTTGGCTCAACTTTCACCCAAACAACAGACAGGCCATCAGGTGAGCAATAACACTAGACAAGTATGCATTCCTCAGAACAACCAACCACATGAGATCAAAAGGGTGGCATCTGCTCAGGGATAAAGCACAGAAGGCAGGATGGGATAGGAAAGAAGGACTAATGGAAACGATAAACACAGGGAGGAACTGAGAAGAGTGCTGTTACATTTTAGGGATGACTATCAATGTCACGGGAGCTCTGGTAGCATGGTGCCTAACCAGAAGGCTGGCGGTTCAAACCCACCAGCCACTCCTCAGAAGGAAGGCTAAAGAATCTACTTCCATAGTGATACTACCTCCGAAACTCAAGAAGGGGTCGCTATGAGTCGGATCCGACTCGACAGCAGTGAGTTTGGTTTGATTTTAATCGATGTCACGAATCAAAATGTGTATGAATTGTGGAATGTAAATCCAAGGTGCTCTGTAAACTTTCATCCAAATCATAATAAAAAGTTTAAAAAAAAAAAAAAAAAGAAGAAGAAAAGAAATAGCTGTGCAAAATGACAGGCTCCAAGACTTACCATGAAGATTTCATCATACATCAGCACCACTTTTTCCTTCAGTGGTTTTTTGGAGGCTGAAGATTTCCGGAGCAAGCCTCCCCGTTTCTCTACCTGTGCCATGGTTATAGAAATCTGTGAAAAGAAAGCCACAGTCAGTGCCAGAATGTGTGCCAGGATGCAGATGGATAGTCTACTGAAACGTCCTCAATGGGAAGTATTTTAGGAAGAAGAAATGACAAACAATCAAGCTATGGATCTTGTTCATCTGTCCAACCCCTGCCCCCTACCAGGTAATGTCTGGGTTTAAATCATGACTTAGCCTACAGCACAACACATTTTATATCCTTAAAACATGCCAGTGGACAAGGCTTAAAGTAGATCCAAAACCAAGCAGGAAAATGTAACGAGCTCCATCTATAATAGGTCTGGCCATATATTTGAGGTTGATGGAAGGAAGGCTGCAAAACATACACCGCCTGCAGACTGATGGTAAAGTTAAATTTCAAGTATTGATCGAGCTTAGGACCATTAAGGCAGGAAGTGTGCTGCAAACTGATGTGCTCCATTGATTTCCCCAAAGTAAGTGGGTCCACATCACTGCAAAGTACTTGGCCTTCACTGCCTCATAAATCACACTGCACTTGACTGTCTTCAGAAAATCCTCTGGAAAGAGACCCAAGGCAGAAAATAGCAGTTAAAAGGCTAAAAATTAAATTTGATTTCAAAATAACTGAATATAATAACATACTCCTTTCAAATGTAATTGTATATATGTGTAACCCTATTGCAGATCAAACTTCAGTGTATTTTTCAAGCCTGTATAAAAGCAGTTCCATGAATCATGTCCAAATTTTCCTATCCTGCCTCAAGAAATTTTCAAAAAATTTACTCAAAATCCCACGGGTCTCCACTGTGGGTTTACTACATTCCTTCACCTTCTAGATTCTTTGTATTATTAACAAAGTCCCTCTCTCTTAAATCCTAGGCTCTAGCTATGAAATTTAATCTAATCCAGTAACAACTTGGGGGGAACAGACTGGTTTTACTAACAGATAAATCCAAAGAAGTAAAACTAATTTTGCTCAATGACTTTTGGAAGCTATACACTATCTTTTATACTAAAATCCAAATTTTGTTGAAGGCAGAGATGCACCCAACAGCACAAAAACATTGTAAGACATTAAGACATCGTCCTTCTCTAATATATTATCCAAAAAAGAGATTCACCTTTGAACATACATCAAAGCACAACTGGATATGAAACATCTCTTAGACAGGATTAGATCTTATACTATTTCTGTAAGATCTGGCTCCTGGTAAACACTCAGTTTACGGTGTTCAGTGACTGATTCTGAAATATAATAATAATCATCATAATAAATACTGAAAAGTCCTAGGTCTGACCTAAAATAAGACCAATTTCAACTAAAGCTTCACTTAGTCCTCAAATTCAATTATGGTCCAGAGAAAACTGAAGGAACAAATAACAAGAAAGAGAAAACTCTTTTAGGCAATTTACACTATATTGATCATGGCAATGCCTTAAAGTATGAAATAAAGCCTCTGTTCAAAACAGTCCTGTGTCTTTTAAACAGGTAGTAAAAAGGAAGATGTCCTGATGGGGGGAAAATAAATTGGAAATCAAAAGGATTCTATTAAAATAAACCAAAAGCGATGCGATTCTAAGCTTAGTAAATATAGATCTTGCGTGTGCTCAGCTTCAACCAGTTGATTAGCAGTAACAGTGGGAATCTGGAGTTTCTGGATGTGAAAAGTATATGTTTACAAACATCCCCATCTGAGGATTTATAATTAGGTTACAACTAATCAATGCCTACCCCAAATCTAATAAGCTCACTTTCCCTATTTCAGAATCAATACTTTCTAATATGCAAAAGGGAATAGGAGAGGGGAAATAACAATTCCAATCCAAAGTACCAAATTTCCTAAGAAATTAAATTCTTTTCATCACTCTCCTTCCATTTGGAGCAGGGGTAATTCAGCCAAGGGCCTCAACTCATTATTCTGTGTCATCCTCACAGGCAAATGGAATTTACCACCCAAACTGCCTGACTTATCACTAGAAACTGACAACATGAAGTCTCCTCCTCTTCCCAGCATTTCTACCCTGGTCCACAGCAAGCCAGGGTGTTTCTGCGGTGATCGAGGGGGAAGGGTATAAGAGAACTCTTAGAAAAAGTCTTTCTTTAGTTCCCAGAAATTGCTTTGGGTCCCTGTGCTCCCAAATGTTAAAGTATAATGCTTGACAGGTATAACAGTAAATTTCACCAGAACAGTAATGTGCTATTTGTTTATATTCTCCCAGAACTTTTTGCCTCTTTAGCACCCCTTCTTCATTGCAGAGAGAATCGGTACCAACTGAAACAGCAAGGCATACTGGAAAGAAAGGCTAGCAGAACTGAGACTAGCATACAGCTCTCTCAACCAACTAGCCAACAATGGCTAATTAAGTCATTGTGCTTCTCACTTTCTACACAAGCAAAACAAAGGTATTGGCTAGACATTATCATCCAAAATCTCCCACAACATCACTGATATGTCACAAATACAACAGATACATAACCAAAAAAAAAAAAACCCAAACACACTACCGTCACATCAACTCGACTCACAGCTACCTATCCTTGGGTTTCCAAGGTAGTATCACTACCAGAAGTAGATTGCCCAGTCTGCCTTCCGAGGAGTGGCCAGTGGATTTGAACCGCCAGCCTTCTCGTTAGAAGTCAAATGCCTTAGGCACTACGCCAACAGATATATAAGGAATATACAAATACTGTCAAGCACTAGTTTAGGCACTATGGGGTTACATACAGGAAAATCCAGACCCAATCCTCTAGGAACTCCCAATCTGCTGGCAGCCAACAGACACATGGTAACATATTGTTGTTGTTGTTGTTGTTATTTGCCGTTCAGTCGGCCCCAACTCATAGCGACCCCTCTTTGGGTTTCCGAGGCAGTATCACTACGGAAGTAGGATTGCCCAACCTTCCTTCCGAATGGTAACACATAACACAAGGCAAATCATGAGACATAAATCAAGGTACAAAGAAAATGCTATGAGACTGTGAGGAGGGAAAGAACCGTCTATGAAGAACCAGGCTTTTAAACTAGGACCTTGAACCTGTTCTTCCCAGTTTAGATAGCCCACCAAAGCGAAACCGAAACCGGAACAGATCAAAATTAGTAAAATGTGGGTGAACCAGAATGGTAACCAGAATGGGAAAAACTACAGGTTGACATCCTGCTAGAAACTTAATCTCCCTCTTAGCAAACAAGGGCAGGGTGCACATTGCATCCCACTGCAATAGAGTCAATCCAGACTCATAGTGACCCTTTTAGGACAGAGGAGAACTGCCCCATAGGGTTTCCAAGGAAGTATATCTGTTTCCACCCCCCCCCCCCCCCCCCCCCCCCCCCCAAAACTTTTTATTGTGCTTTGGGTGAAAGTTTATAGAGCAAATTTGTTCTCCATTCAACAGTCTGTACACATTGTTTCATGACACAGACTGCAAACCTCTCACAATGTAACAGCTCTCTTCCCACCTCTTCCCCAGGGTTACCTTTACTTTATGTCCTTCTTTCCTATGCATTCCTGCCCTCTGAGCTTTCTCACTGTGCAAATCCTGCTCTTCTGATCTCCCATGGCTGACTGTTCTAAAGGAGTGCACCTACCTGGTGTAAATAAAAGTTCACCTCATAGGCCTGTCCATTGTTTGGCTAAAAGTTAAGCCATGGGCATGAGTTCAATTCCAGACCTGAAGGATGACTAGGGGCCATAGTCTCAGGGGTTTCACCAGTCTCTATCAGACTAGTAAGCCTGGGCTTTTTTATGATTTTGAGTTTTGTTCCACATTTTCCTCCTACTCTATCCAGGATCTCCAATTTTGATCACTGAGTTGCTGGCAGCAGTAGTCAGGAACCATCTAGTTTGGTCTCAGGGTCATGGTGGCTGAGGTTCCTATGGTCCACTAGTCCTTTGGACTAATTGTTTCTATGTGCCTTTGATTTTCTTCACTTTTCTCTGCTGAGACCAATTGTTACATCTTAGATGGCTGCTTGCAAGCTTTTAAGACCCAGTTGCTACTAACCAAAGTAAGAGGTAGAACAATGGTTTTATGTAGTATGTTATACCAATTGAGTTTGATGTATCCCACAACCATGGTCCCAAGCTGGCAGACCCAGTGACTTACTCCCTCAAGATGTCTGGTTGTAGATAAGAAGTTACCATAACTTAGCCCCATGTTAGCTCTATATGGACATTTTTATAGCACATACAAATATGTATATAGAAATATCATCTGTCAAACCTATATATACACCAAACCAAATGCAACTCACTGCCGTCAAGTCAAACCCAACTCATAGTGATACCTCCTTGAGTTTCTGAGGCGGTATCACTATGGAAATAGATTGCCCAACCTTCCTTCTGAGGAGTGGATGGTGGGTTTGAAACTCCAGCCTTCTGGTTAGCAGTCAAATGCCTTAGGCACTATGCTACCAGAGCTCCTCCAAACCTACATATGGTCATGGGTATACTCCCATTCGCCTACCCATACCTGATCATCTTGCCTGTCTATCCATGTATTCACTCATAGATTAATATTTGTTATTACTGATATTACAGTATTGTATATGTAAAAGTGTTTACCTTTGTTGTCTATACTTCTTGTGTACCTCTCTGTGTCTCCCTTTTCCAAAGTTGTAAATATTAACGAAAGGAGACTGCCTCATCTTTCTCCCACAGAACAGTTGGTGGGTTCAAACCACCAACCTTTTGGTTGGCAGCCAAATGCTTTAACCACTGTGTCACCCGAGCTCCTCATGCACATGGCATAGCAACTAAAGCTCTTGATTGACAGAGTCAGAAATAATGGTGCTCCACCCAAAGACAGCCAACCACACAGCTTTGAATGTGTGTCTACTCTCCACCGTCCTGGCAATAATCCAATCTCCCACATCAAGCTCTTGAAAGGGCTCACTATGCCTCCTCAGAAGTCCTCATTCCAGGGCTTCAACCAGTAATTTTTCCCATTTTTGTTATCATTACATTTCACCCAAATTTTTAAAATTCGGGTCCGTTCTGATTTCACTGCATCAGT